TCAAGGTAAAGAATGAGTTACTCAAACTGTCTCTTAACATCTCCAAGAATAGGTATGCATTTTACCAACTGGTATGCATTTTATTAATACCATTTTATTTAGAAATGGGACTTCTTACACACTCTATACACTCCCCAGTTATTCTCCAGGCACCATTTCATCCTCTATATTCCATCTTCTCCTATCTATTTATATCCCACCTTTATTCAATTTTTTAAATAACTCAAGGCAGTGTACCCAACAAATACTCTTTCTTCGTATTATGCTTTTTCAGATTTTGCAGCTGTGTTATAATGAAGAGCTAGTTTTTCTAGTCTAATGGTAAAAAATGCTTTTAAAACTGTTATCGTGTATTTTACATGTTTTTCCCCTGCTATTTCTTTGGCCTCAGCTTGTGGAAAGGGATTTATAAGGAACTTAAATATGCCGCCTTTTTCAAAGGCTTTTTAAATGTGCATCTTTGCTAATTATGCAGCTGTGAATCATTGCAAGACTATTTTTTTTTAAAAAAAACATTCTTACATAGATGCACTTAAAGATAAGCAATTTGAAATGGCAGTCTCATCACTTGCCTTTTCACAATGGTGTAGGTGGTTTATGGCCTGTTTACACTGTTCTTCCAGATAAAATATTTGAATGTCACAGAATCAGAGTGGGAAAAGGCTGCCTTGTAGGAAAGTTGAGGTGGTGATAGCAAAATAGCACCCTAGATTAAGTGGATTGTCTTGGACACAGTCAGGCAGAGTTCAACCCTTAGTGTGGGATTGAGATAGCATTGGCTGCTGTAATCAATTACTTTTATCAGGAGCTAGATAGGTAGTGTGCCTCTCATGGTGTTTTCTGTGGTGTTCAATACTTTTGACTATGATATCTTCCTGGATAGCCTACAGGGAAGGAGACTGGAAGCACTGCTTTATCCTTCCTCAGTAGACAAGCTCAATTGCTGTGGGAAAATAAATTAACTTGGTGGCATCTATCTCGTTGAATACTACAGGGGTCAGCCCTTTGTCTTATATTCCTGCAAATAGCAACACTGTATCTGCTGTCTAACTCCCAGCAATTCTATACAAAACTGCAAGAAGTCACCTCAAAATTTGAAGTGTGGTATCATACAGATGTTACCCAAATAACACTACAGCTGATTGTATGGGAGATCCTTGAATATCCTATCCTGTTGCTGACCTGAAGCAAGACCTAGATTGCTTGGAATTCTTTCTTGTAACCAATATTATTTCTGGATGGGCAGGCATAGGCTCACAATTTGAGGGTCCTTCTGAATGTATAGCTCTGCTTGAGTAGGAGGCTAAAACATACAATGAACAGTTGCTGCCTTTACTTGGCATGGCTAGTCTAGTGAAGGAACAGGGGAGACATGATAGCAGTATTCTAATATTTGAGGGACTGCCACAGAGAGGAAGGGGTCAAGCTATTTTCCAAGGTACCTGAAGGCCAGACAAGGAATAATGGATGGAAATTGATCCAAGCAGAGATTCAACCTAGAAATAAGAATTTTTTTCTGACAGTGAGAACAATCAACTAATGGAACAGCTTGCCTTCAGAAGTTGTGGGAGCTTCATCACTGCAAGTTCAAGAAGAGACTGGACTGCCATTTGTCAGAAATGCTGTTTGGGTGGGGGGGGTTGGGCTAGAAGACCTACAAGGTCCCTTCCAACTCTGTTAATCTGTTGAATTTCACATTTGTGACCTTATCTGGTGCAAGAAGACTTTCTCCCATGCCCTTATTACTATCCTGCTGGACTACTATACAGATAATACTAGACTTACAACCACAATTGAGCCCAAGATTTCTGTTGTTAACTGACACATTTATTAAATGAGTTTTGCTGTTTTACGATCTTTCTTGCCTCAGTTAAATGAATCACTGCAGTTGGTAAGTTAGTAACCTGGTTGTTAAGTGAATCTAGCTTCATTGATTTTGTTTGCCAAGGTGATCACACGTCCTTAGGACGCAGCAACCATCATAAATATGAATCAGTTGCCAAGCATCTGAATTTTGATCACATCATCAAGGGGATGCTGCAAAGGTTGTAATTGTGAAAAGCAGTAATAACGGTCACTTTTTTCAATGCCGTTGTAACTTTCAATTGTTACTAAATGAACTGTTGTAAGTCGAGGACTACCTGTATGAGGTTATCTTTAAAGATTACTCCAAAATGTTGTGTCTTCTATGCTATAACACTTAATGTTAAGAGTATGTTGCACTTAGGCTACAATTCCTACGAGTGCTTTCAGTTAGTTTGCCAGTGCATTTAAAGTACCGTATTTGCCGGCGTATAAGACGACTTTTTTGCCCTGAAAAACATGCCTCCAAGTGGGGGGGTCGTCTTATACGCCGGGAGGACTCCGACTCCCACTTCGAGCTTGAGTTGCAGCCGGGAGGGAGGCTGGGGGGGGGAGCGGTGTGTGTGTGTGTGTGTGTGTGTGGCGGGTGTCACTCGCCACGCGCTGCGCAACCTTTCCCCCTCTTCCTTCCTTAGCGGTGTGGGGAGGAGAGGATTCGAAGATCCTCACGTGCGGCGTACTTTTCTTTTTCTTTTTTTCTTTTTGCACGCAGGTTTTGCATGCAGGCGGCTGTAGGTTAAGGATGGGGGAGCCCCCGGGTGGGTTATCAGGTTTTACGGTGCTTCCAACATGTGTGAACGGTGGGAGAGCGGAGAAGAGAGCGAGCGAGCGCCCCGCTGTGTGAAATCCTGCCGTCAAAGCAACACTGGGGGAGGCAGGGTATAAATTTACCAGGTTAATGTAGCAATGGTGATTAATGCCCAGAACATTGTTTGCGGGTATTGGGGTGTGTGTGTGTGTGTGTGGTGGTGGTGAGGAGAGGTTGTCCTTTGAATGCGGAAAAGTAGGTGTGACCTTGTGTAGGAAAATAAAGAGATCCTTTTTAGCGTGTTTGGCTTCTTTGCCTCCCCTCGTTCGTTTTGACGTGGAGATAATGGCCTTCGGGCGGGAGGGGAAGAAAATGGTAGCTGGATCATTTCAAATTTCACTTACTCTCCTGCCTCACTTCAATATGTCTGAGCGACTCCAGATACTGGAAGACTTTTTGAATGAAAGTGTTACCTCCATTTTTTTTTTTAAAGAGGGCCACTTGGGGAAAAAAAAAGATTCTAAGGAATTCCCCGTTTCTTGATTAAAGAGAAGGCATTGAATATACTGTTCCTTGGCAGCCTTTTCAGTGTCCGGGTTTTTGGTGTGTGTGTGTGTGTGAGAGAGAGAGAGAGAGAGAGAGAGAGATCAGCTGTATTGAGAAGAGAACGTTTCCTGTGTTCTCATTTTATTTACAACATATTTTACGCTTAATGGTAAGCAATGAAAAATATTTTTAAAACTCATTTCTAAACTCCATAGCTATTTGCATATTCTTGGTTCAAAATTGGATTAGCTCATTTCAAAATTGTCCAAAGCAGAAAAGTGCGTCAAAAAAAAAAAAGTGCAAAAGTGGAAGGTGTGTGGAAGAGGGGGTAGTCTTATACAGCGAGTATATAACAAACTCTATATTTTGAGTGGAAATGCTGGGGGGTCGTCTTATACGCCCAGTCGTCTTATACGCCGGCAAATACAGTATGATTTTGACCTATAAAATCATTCATGTCATGGCATGTGGATGCCTGCAGGATCCAACCTGGATTGGCTCAACCCATTGAGGATGGTAAAACAGTGCATGTTCCAGAGAACGTTCTACTTATATTACTTATATTGGTTCTCTAACCTTTTTATCAATTATTTGGTTTTTAAAATTATTATTTTTAGATTGTGTTTTTTTCAAGATTTATCAGAGTTTTTAAAGTTTTCCATGCTGTATCATGTAGGGCACTGAAAATCATTGGATTGTGTCAGGATAAAAAGTGAATAAACAAAAATGAAATGAAATAATTAGATAGGTAGTGAGTTCTGCACTACTTAAAATTAATACATACATTAATACCTACCTACCAATTGCCTTTGGGAAAAATATGTCTGCACTGCAACACTTCAGAGATGAAAGATTCCAGTATATAATCCTGGAATACCCTTCCCATTATAGTGAGATGTACTATATTTCTATTTAAATTAGACATATTTATTAATATATATCTATAAATTAGAAATATAGTGTTTATTCCCCCCCCCCCCCCCCAACAATGTCAAAGTGACTTTCCTATATCATGCATACATGTAAATGTCTACAGATTTTCTGAGAGTCTGGATTTGCTGTAAATGCATTACCTAAAAAAAGAGTCCCCTCCATGTAACTATTTTAAAAATAAAACAAGTGATGAAGAAAGTGATGTGCAAATGAAGTTCTTGAACCCATCGCATGGAGAGTTTTAACTGTGTTCTCTAACAAATGCCAAAAAAGAAAAAAATATTCCTGTAATTTTCCTGTTAGCTAATCAGTAAATGTGATTATTATATGGACATATAATTCAATTCTGTGTTTTGATATTTCCTGTGTGTTTAGTATGTCCATAGAGGTTAGTCTTTTGTGGTATACTTCTGAAAAGAAGGAGTGAGAAAGATTCCTCTCCCAAACTACTGTTCACCATGAATGGAAACAAACATTGCCACAAAAAGTTTTTGAAAACATTTCTGAAAGAAACCAATGGAAATTAAATTATTTACTTATATTTTAATATCCCAAAAAGAGAAACAAGAGAGAGAGTAAAGCCATTTGAACATTTTCTTTGGTTAAAGCAGAGGTAGGCTATCTAAGGCACTTGTTGACAGACCTGGAATTCCTTGAACTGCTCTGTTATAATATGATGGCACTATTGTTAAAATTGCCAACATAGCTTCTCATTATATTAAGGCAGAAAACACAATAAAAACATTGTATAAGCTCTAGACTTAGCTTATTTTTTCTTTAGGAGTAGCTGCTAAGAAAAACAAAGAAAGAAAACAAAACTAGGAGGGAAGTAAAGCAATAAATCTGGAAAATGACAGCTTCCCAAAATGAATAACATCATTTCCACCTATTTTCCATCTCGGCTTATATCCACTATGGTACTTAATTAGTCCCGCCACTCCCAGGAATTAAATATGATTTCAGTCACCAGAAAGATGCAAATCCTGGATTAGAGGCTGTTGACAAAACAGCAACGTGTTATAAATGATGAGGCTATCATTAAAAAAAAAGTTGGACAGTGAAAAATCATACACATTCAAAAACTGATTTTCCTATGGTTATATGTAAGCCTAGAAAGAAGATGGGAGATCATTATGAAATCCCAACATGGGATTAGGTCAGGAAGATGAAAACAAACTTCAGAAGAAGGAGGAACAGTAGCTGTTGTTTACCAGGAAAGCTACAGGGATATGATCTTGATATCACCAGGAATTGAGCTGGTTGGGTGGCTTTGTCTCTATAGCCAAAGCAATACCTCTAGCTCACAAGGGTTCTGTATGTACACATAAACTCAATCCATACTTCAGTGCTATCCCAAATCTGCTACCACTTGACTCACTTAATTCAAATGAATTTGAAGAGAAGCATCTAATATGCTTGCTAGATAACTTTCCTGGTCACACAGCATATTTGTCCACCAGCAACAACTATTTCTGAAGGTAATAATTTAGTACAAGATTTTTAAAATGAGATTAGGACAGCCCTTTTTGTTGGAGTTGTAGGGGGGATTGGTCTGCCAAAGTAATTTCTACAGCAGTCAGTCTGAACAGTACTGTACTTGATGGGTTAACAGAGACAAAATACAGAAAGAAATTTAATGAAATGCACAATCCCCTACAGAGGGGGTCCCAACTCCAAAGTTCTTTCATTGTTTTGCTAATTTATGATTCTCCTGTACTCTGGAAGAACAACAATAAGGAGGCAATCAGTAAATTCAAGCATAAAAGCTCTCTGACTCTCTTATAATTTGAGCAATGAAGTAAAACACTGTACTAATATTACTGCCATTGTACTATTGTTCCTACAAAAACTACATTGCTAATCCCCTCTAGTATTATAACTGCAGCTCCAGCCAAAATGTAATCATGGGGAAATTGTCAAACAGCTAACATAACTAGTACATTATATTAGTCACAGAAATGGGGCATAATTTCAAACCAGCTGGCTGGGGGAAGGGGAGAGAAAGAGAGATCTATTTTGGTTCACTGGTGCTAAGACTAACCAAGCACCTTTTTTCTTTATCTCATTCCATTTTCAACCAAAATAGAAGAAAAGACTCCCCTATGTGAACTTACAAAACAATTGGTTCTGTATCTGCTTCTATGATTCTCACCCTCAGTTGAGGTAAAACTATCTCAATCAATTTAAACTGCTACTATAAATCTGAGATCACTCTCAAAATTAAGCACGTAGTACCCAATGGATGTATTTCTCTACTATTTAAAACAAAAGTACAAGTTCAAAATAATTGACATGGCATTAAAAGCCGAGAAGTAAATAAACCCATCACTTAGATATGTCCACTGCAAGAAATATCCAGAAATGACATTCTTTCATTTTAAAAACTTTTCTGTCTTTTCCTGCAGGTTTTTTTTTTTTTCTTGTGAGAATCGGGTTGCTAGGTCATTGTTTTAAAAAAACATAACAAAGCAGAAACAACTTCAGGGTATTCTTAAAAAAGAAAAAGAACGATCAAGATAATATGAATATTCACATTAATAAGCTTATGCATGTTAAGAAAAACCTAGATACATGAATCATGACCAACATTCTTAGGCCAGCTTCCTTTTTTATGGTTGTTGTTTTGCTGCTATAAATTCACTTCAAGGTATTATATCAATAGAGACGAATCAGTGTATCCATGAAGGAGCTTTCCATCAAACCAGATATTTTTTGCCAAATGTCAGGATTTGACATTTGATGCTTTTATCTGCTATCAGCTAGATCGTTCATCGTGTGACTTTTCTTTCTGTTCATCTGATATTGAACCTAGTGGTGTAGTAAATCAAATAAAAAGCTATAGATCTGGAATTCTAGTCCTTGCCGTTGTTAAACAGCAATATTTCAATTAGTTGCCTTGTTCTCTTTTGTGTAATCTCCATATCCTGCTGGCTTTTTTTTTTAACGCATTGCCTCTTGCGAAGGGGAGAAAGACAAAGGGTGTCTCAAGGGTGCCGTTTTTGCTTTCAGATGAAATATTCTTTTCGGTTCTCATCCACGGCATCTTGAAGGGTAGGGTCGTTTTTCAGAGCAGCATCTGCACTTTCGGCAAATTCAGTTCCCTTTGCTTCATTGGTATGGTAGGTGCCCTTGTGCCGGTATAGGTATCTCAGCATCACCACCAAGAGGCAAATCAAGACTAAGACCACAGCTGCAATGACACCTACAGGGAAGGAGAAACATTTTATTTTTTTTCCATTAATGATTTCAAATATGCTAAGTAACCTCCCCCACCCCAAACACACATTGGCTCTGGTTTTGATTTATTCCACATGGAAGCCTTCTGTTAGGACTTTCAAAGAAAGATCACAACCCCACATCAACAAAGGGCCATGACACTGTAATGATTGAGAGAAAGAGCACTTGCAAAAGAAACAAAAACAAGGGAGCACAAAGATGTCCTGGTTTTCACTCTAGTTAAATTATAATTGATCCTTATTTGGACCAACATACTGATATTTTCTAATTGTTTTATCCAAGATATCGAGAGGACAAGCTTGAGGAAGGCTACAGTATAAAATTGAGCCTTAAAAAAACTCTTAATGAGAACTGGCTCTAGATTTGTGTAAGGATGATATAATCCAATGCCAGTTCCAATTACTTTGTTGTAAATCCAAGCATTGTCTAGCTCATTTCAAGAAATAAATTTATAAATTGTTAAAGCTGATCAATGCAAGTTTTAATTAAGAGTAAACCCTATCAGCTTGTAAAAGATGAGCACGAGGGCCTCGTGAATTTTGCTGCTGATGTAGTGGGCATTTGATACAATTTTATTTCTTCACCATTCCTGCCAATGGCTGATTTCATAACTCTGACTAAATACATGGCAGCTTATGGAGTGAATCAGAGGACCTTAAAAAAATCCTGGAGGGAAATCAGAAGCTGGTTGAGAACTTAAAAAACACTTAGTGAAATAAGCCATGTTACAATAGCAATATCTTTTAAACTTATTACCACTCCATAATACTTTACAGCCCTCTCTAAGCAGTTTATAGAGTCAGCCTCTTGCCCCCAACAACCTGGGTCCTTATTTTACCCACCTCGGAAGGATGGAAGGCTGAGGCCACCTTGAGCGTGGTGAGATTTGATCTGCCAAATTGTAGTCAGCCAGCACCCAGCAGAAGTAGCCTGCAATACTGCACTCTAACTATTGTGCTACCACAGCACAAAAAGCAAAGATGGTCTTCCTCCTCAGATATTGCTCAGCAACCAAGTTTACCTCTCTGCCTACCCAAGTAGCCTGCATACAAATTTAGCACTTTTTATTTGGTTCACTGGTTGTGATGTGGTTCCCCTAAGTGGGCAGTTCAATTTTTGAAGCAAGCGTAGTATCAGGCTAGAAATAATAGGCCTGTGCAAAGTGGCCATGTTTGGTACATCTGTTATGCAATGTGCTTCATTGCTAAACACTGTGTTGTTTCAAAATCTCTTCTGGCACATTCAATGCCCACAGAAGCAATGTGAATCTAAGCACCATGGCAGCTTCACTTCGCTTTTTAGAAGCAGGGGACGCATTGCTTTGCAGTGTGCTTTGAAGTGTGCTTTGCTCAAAGCATCACTGGAGTGAAACACACTTTCAAAGGGTTGCAGAGCCCAAATGTTGGGTTCTAAGACAATCTCTTTTTCCTGAGATCTCAAAGCAAGCTCACAATAATTAACATTAGAGCCTCTGTTAAGATATTGGCTATATTAAAGTAATGTTATTCAATTCACATAGAATTCATTGTTTTTCTTAAGGTTTACAGTGGACTCCCCAAACACAATGGGCTGCAATGCTATTTAGATCCTGCCTAGGAAGGTAGAATAATTCAGATTTTTTCCAAGTAACTTGTAGAATGTTGAAATTAATATTTCAGAGGATGGGAAGAAAGGGAAATACAGGTATTTCTTGACTTACAACCACAATTGACCCCAGAATTTATGTTGCTAAGTGAGAAATTTGTTAAGTGAGTTTTGCCCCATTTTATGACTTTTCTTGCCACATTTGTTAAGCTAATCACTACAGTTGCTAAACTGCAGTGTTATACCTATGTTATTGCTAAATAACACAGTTGTTAAGTGAATCTGGCTTCCTCATTGGCATTGCTTGCCAGGCGGTCACAAAAGGAGATCACATGACCCCACGACACTGCAACCACAATATGAGCCAGTGGTCAAGCATCCGAATGCAAATCATGTGACCATGGGGATGCTGTGATGGTCATATGTGTGAAAAATGGTCATAAGTCACTTTTTTCAGTGCTATTGTAACTTCGAATGGCCACTAAATGAACTGTTGTAAGTCGAGGACTACCTGTACATAGAACTCAATTAAATTAAACTACGGTAGGTAATTAATTGCTGCAAACAACAAGCATAAAAGTCAGCAAATGCATTTCAAAGAAAAAGAATCAAATCATTCACGTTAACACATCAAATACCCCTTTTGGGAGTAATTTGAACAATCAACTTCAGTTATCATGACAAGGTGCTAATGGGATTAGAACTCAATTGCTGTTAACGTATTTCTGCTTTGGCAGTTTTCACCAGGGAACAATTTTTTTTTCCAGGCAGTTGTTCATCTTTGTCTCCTGTGACTTGTGGGGAGAAGGAAGTAGCTGGAGGAGGAGGAAGAGGAGGCTTAACATTGTAAGGCTTTAAGATAATAACATCTGGGGTCCTATAAAACCAGAAACAAAGTAGACCAGAAATTAACAGATAACAGATAATCAAGAGTTGGAAGGGACCTTATAGGCCATCTAGTCCAACCCCCTGCCCAAGCAGGAGACCCTACATCATTTCTGACAGATGGGAGTCCAATCTCTTCTTGAAAGTTTCAAGTGATGGTGCTCCCACAACTTCCGAGGGCAAGCTGTTCCACTGGTTGATTGTTCTCACTGTCAGAAAGTTTGTCCTTATTTCCAGGTTAAATATCCCCTTGTTCAGTTTCTACCCACTATTCTTTGTCTGGCCTTCGGGTGCTTTAGAAAATAGATTGACCCCTTGCTCTCTGTGGTAGCCCCTCAAATATTGGAAGACTGCTATCATGTCTCCCCTGGTCCTTCTCATTTCTAGACTAGCCATGCCCAATTCCTGTAACCGTTCTTCATATGTTTTAGTCTCCAGCCCCCTAATCATCCTGGTTGCTCTTCTTTGTCTTTTTCTAGAGTCTCAACATCTTTTTTATAATGCGGTGACCAAAACTGGATGCAGTACTTTAGGTGTGGTTTTACTAAGGCTTTATACAGTGGTATTAGTACCTCACTTGATCTTGATTGTATCCCTGTTAATGCAATTTAGGATTGCATTAATTGACTGATGCATCCCATTTTAGCAACTCAGTAGTAGCAGGAGAGCTTGTCAAAGAATTAGTAGGGAGTTTTAAGAATTGGGAAGACTGGAAGAAAAAATTACAAGGTACTTTTCTGGTCATCAGATGGGCTCAACACCAAATGATTGAACTACTGATTTTTAACTCCAAATCTCTTAAAAATAATCTAGTGCGCGTCTGCCCCAAAGTAACCTGCGTATGACCATACAGCCATAAAAGTAATATATAATTATTTATGCCAGGTTTGATTTGGTGAAAAAAATTATTCCTAGTTTATTTGTGGTACAGACAAATATCCTTTAAGATACTACTGCTAGTACCTCAACACAAATAAGCTAGAAGTTTACACATTATTATGACACTGTTGCCTCTCTCTTGTTCATCTTCCCTGGCAGCAGAGCTGTCTGAGATGTGGTGCATGTTGTATTCTGTTTCCTGATTGTTGAGACAAAAAGCTGACTGTGACAAAAATATTTTTAACAATTTCACTGTTAAAGAGGCACATCAGAAAAACTCCTTCTGCCTAATAACAGGATGAATATTTATCCTGTTGGAAGGGGTTATCAGAGCTGTTTTTCTTTCGTTTGACATATACTGTAATTTCCTTTTCTTCTCTCTCTTTTTTCTATATTCAACTTTATTTATCTTTCTTCTTAACTTCTCCCTTCATTTCCTTGGTTTTATAGCTTTTATATCCCTTGGAAGTGGCTAATCAGCTCTTTAGTCACATTCTAACCAAATAACAAAATACTCTTACATTAACAGTTCTCTCTCTTTTCTGAGATTATTATATAAGGTACAAGTATAAATAGGTTTCTTCTATCTTTTTTGAAATGCTTGGATTTCCACTATTTTATGATTAAAGAAACAGATAACAGATAATCAAAGTTGGAAGGGACCTTGTAGATCATCTAGTCCAACCCCCTGCCCAAGCAGGAGACCTTACACCATTTCTGACAAATGGCAATCCAATCTCTTCTTGAAAGTCTCAAGTGATGACACTCCCACAACTTCTGAGGGCAAGCTGTTCCATTGGTTGATTGTTCTCACTGTCACAAAGTTTCTCCCTATTTCCAGGTTTAAATCTCTCCTTGTTCAGTTTCCATCCATTATTCCTTGTCTGGCCTACAGATGCTTTAGAAAATAGCTTGATCCCTTCCTCTCTGTGGCAGTCCCTCAAATATTGGAACACTGCTATCATGTCTCCCCTGATCCTCCTCTTCATATGTTTTAGTCTCCAGTCCCTTAATCATCCTGGTTGCTCTTCTCTGTACTTTTTCTAGAGTCTCAACATCCTTTTTTATAGTGTGGTGACCAAAACTGGGTTCAGTACTCTAGGTGTGGTCTTACTAAGGCCTAAGAAATAGGAATCTTTTCTGTTCTCTATTTTTATTTGCTTTTTTCCCCTTCAATTTCCCTGAAGCTTCGGAATAAGCCTATCTGAGCCAGAAAACAACCAGACTAAGATAAGCCACTTCCTTTTTGGTACATTTCAGGGGAGGGGAAGAAAATGGGCGTTGGTAAATTTATCTGTGAACGCCCTTTCCATCTATGCTGCAGAGAGCCCAGGATGGGCAGACTCCTTATGATGTCATTAAGCTGGGTCTGTACTTGTATATATAAAAAGCCAGCCCCTGGGAGAATCCCCAGCTTTGGCGAAGATACTTGACAGACTGAAGAAGTGTCTCTGAAAGCAAACAATCCAATACATTAACATGCCTTACCATCTCCGGACGAACCAAGGGAGGGGCTGGGCTCTCCTGCAGCATAGATAGAAAGGGCGATCACAGGTAAATTTACCAATGCTCATTCTCCTCCATGCTGCAGCGAGAGCCCAGGGTGGGACATACCAA